GGATTCCTGGCAAGCTGGCATGAGAACGGCTGGTTTTCAGGTGCTTAGAAGTCTAGTGTTTGTAGAGACCTCGGTTCTGCAGAGCACATATTCCCAGGAATGGAGCCAGAGGGGGCTTAGTGTGGAGAGCCTTCCTGTGGTAGGAGGTGGGACACACTCCGGTGAAATCCATGGATTCCCCCTGGAGATGACCTGGGAGCGGTGGAGAGGTGGGGTGCTTTTAGAAACTCTTCTCTTCAGTTGATCCCAAAGCAAGATTGGAGTGTGAGACTATGTCATTCCTTTTGGACAGTCAAGAAATCAGTTGAAAAGCTGAAGCTAACATGTTGCAACAATCTGCACTTGGTGACGAACTGCATGGAACATGCCCTGACAGCCTGCCACCCCCGCACCCGATACTCCCCAGGCTGGGATGCTAAGCTCTTCTACATCCCCATGAGCTACATGCCCACCTTGCTGGTGGACGCCATGATCTATTGGAGTTCTCCGAGACCCGATAAGGCTCTGTAACCCAAGCCTGGGGTGCATGGTAGGAGGGAGTTGTGTCCTATGTGAGGGTGGGGATGCCTCAGGGGGGAGAGAGAGGTGGAAAGAGGGGGATCTCATGTCACCAAAGACACCCATCTCACCTTCCTCCCCACCTCCTCCTCAGGCTTTCCTGGGATATGACTCAGGATTCTGGAGATATCAGGAGGAAAGAACCAAGTTTCATGGCTGAGGAACAGGGACCCAATAGCACACACACATGCCCTGTTCCTTGAATGGCTTCTAAAGGCTCTGAGCTTTTTTGGCACTCCTGCCACCTTGAGGAATCCATACTCTTGGCAGAGTGTCAGCAGCAGGGAGGTCTCAGCCCCCACCTGCTCTACCTCTGTCCCCCTACTCAGGGTGTCCCCCTCCCACAGGATGGACATAGCCTGGGGGAGTTAATGCCCCTCTCCACTGAAGATACCTAATGCCAGAACAGATGTGAATGGGGACGACCAGCCAGACCCATTAGCCTGAGGAGCCAACTCACAGACCTTGGTTAAAAGGACATGTCTATAATCAGACACAGAGGACACAGAAACCAGCTACTGGGGCGCCTGGGTGGCTCAATCGGTTAAGCGTCTGCCTTCAGCTCAGGTCATGATCTCAGGGTCCTGGGATCAAGCCCCTGTGTCGGGCTCCCTGCTCAGTGGGCAGTCTGATTCTCCCTCTCCCTCTGTGCCTCCCCCCTACTTGTGTGCTCTCTCTCTGTGTCAAATAAATAAAACCTAAAAAAAGAAAGAAAGAAAGAAAAACCAGTTGTTGTCTTGAAACCTTGAAGTCCATTGATTATTTCTGCCTCAAAATAAAAGTTGAAAAGTTTACTTAGGTCTGGTGATTGGAACCGTGGCCTTGGGGAGCAGTGGGGTGTGAGTCCATGAGAGGAGTCGTCAGGTGCCTTCACAGAGATCAAGGGAGCAATGGGATAACCTGGGTGGGATTTCAAGAGGGGAGTGAGATCACCCCCTTCCTTCCACAGAAGTGGGGGCTAATGTTTCCTTTCCAGGATTTATCAAGCAATGTGGGGTCACAGGAAACCCAAGGATGGACAGACAGGAGAAGTTGCTGAAGCACTGGCAGGCCCTGGTCCTTTCCCAGGGACATCAAGCCTGCCCCCTCAGCAGCATCCTCTCTGCAGCCCTCTGTTCTCCCCTCCTCTAGATTTATGTCCCCAACTGCAGCCATCCCCAACTTCCCCAGCCCAGATCCCCCTTCCCACATCCTCCAGTGGAGGAAAGTAAGAGTCACTTCTGGACCCCAGTCTTCTGTCCTCTGCTAACCTTTGTTGAGCATCTACTGTGTGCCAGGCAGGAATTCCCTTAATTGCCCAGTGCTTCCTGAGACCGTGACTCTCTATGTCTCCACTATTCTGATGATGTTCTGAGCATGGACTGAACAGAGGAAGCATTTGCAGAGAGTGATGCAGATTCTTGGGCTGAGGACAAACTGCGAGCTGCCTCATCAGGTATCTTAGTTTTCTTCCCTCACTTTCAAACCGAGGCTATGGAGCCTTTAGGGGGATCTGATACTGTAGAATGACACCAATGTTCTTGGTGAAAACAACGAGGTCAGATGTTGCTGTGTCATTCATTCTCACCCATGTAGTAGGTGCTGGAAATGGCCTGGAGGAGCTGATGGCCCCTCTCTGCTGAAGATATTGGTGAATAGAGGTGTGGATGGTGTTCAACCACCAGCCCAACCCTTCAGCCTCAGGTACTCAGCAGGGAGACTTGTCATCTGAGAGTGGGGCATTTCTAGCCCTAGGAAAAGAGCCCTTCTCTGTGGTTCCCATTCCCCACTGCATAACCTGCTTTTTGTAGCTGTTGGGAGTTTGAACCCAGGGGAACACTGCCTTGACCATCAGTCAGCAGAGAGGCCCATGAAATGGTGAGTCAGGCCCAGTCCTGTGTTGGGGTAGTTCCAAGTGATCCTTTTCTAAATCCAGAGACAACCCCTGGATGTCACCTGTCTTCTCAAGGATTGGGATACTCCTGGGACTGCTCAGCACTTGAGTGGCATTGTCTGACTTCCCCTAGACAAGATTTCCCTGTTCACTTACCCAGGAGGCAGAGTTTGGACATACCTCCCAGACTGAGTGTAGGTGTTGTGCCTTGGGCTGGGTGGGCCATAGGTAAGGTTTGCCTCCGCCACTCCCCACCTCTCTCTCACACAAGGTTTGGATCTGCACCCCAGGGGCGTGCCCATGATCTGACCTCTCACTCCCACCACCCTTGTTAGAGAATGGCCAAGCTCTCTGGTCTTTCCTGAGGCAACACCTGCGTTATTTGATTCTGAAGCTTACCAACCTTGGTAGATAGTGGAGCATAGAGATGCATCCTTGTCTCTTCACCTTAGGAAATCTATGGCTTCATTTCTATCAGACCCTTTGGACAGGGAAGGTGTGGGTGGCTGGCCCCCAGTCCCTCACGATGAGCTGGTGGCCAGGCTCATCTTGGGGAATGGTGTCTCTAGAGGTTTATTCCAAGAGCCACCATAGACCCCAACATCCTTCTGTCCCTGCATCTGAGGGTCCGAGGTGTGGCTCCTCTGTCTCATCTCCTTACTTCTTTTGCTTTACCAGCTTCCCTCCTAACTTCTCTGAGTTCTTTGCCCCATTTCCTGGAATCTCTCCCTCCTCTCCACGTCCTGACTCTGAGAATTTTCCAAGTCTCTGACTCTAGTCTTTTGCTTTTCCCATATGTCATCCCTTCTCAGAACCAAGATTTGGCCCCAGGCCCTTCCTGCAGCTGCCCAGGGAACTCATGACCAGTCCTCATTATCTGGCTGGACCTCATCTCAGTAACGTTCATATCATAACTCTCTATCTCTTGCCTTCCTTCCCTATGCCCAAAGCGTCCTCACCCCTGACTTCTCTTGCCACTTGTGGTTCTACCTGTTATCAGCCCCATACGCTAGAATCCCCCTGACTGGCGCATGCAGGAAGATGGCGGGCTTGGAGTCCTGAGAGCCGTGGGTCACCCTGCCCTCCTCCCATCTGTGTTGTAGCTCCCGAGATCATGGGGCAGTGGCGCGTTCGTTCACAGGCCGGCCTAGGCAGCGGCGCCACTGAGCAGGCTGCGGGCCCAGGTCGTGCTCAGCCTCCAGGACCCGGCGCACTGGGGACGGCACCTGGCCGGAGCGGGAGAAGGCGGGAGAGTTCGCGGGGTGCGAGGCCAGGGACCGCCGGCTGGGCAGCCTGAGTCAGCAGTGGTCTGTATGTGTCCATGAGAAAAGCTCTCAAAGTGAAGAGACCTCGTTTTGATGTATCTCTGGTTTATTTAACTCGAAAATTTATGGATCTTGTCAGATCTGCTCCTGGGGGTATTCTCGACTTAAACAAGGTTGCCACAAAACTGGGAGTGCGGAAATGAAGAGTGTATGACATCACCAATGTCTTAGATGGAATCGATCTGGTTGAAAAAAAGTCTAAGAACCATATTCGATGGATAGGATCTGATCTTAGCAATTTTGGAGCAGTGCCCCAACAGAAGAAGCTGCAGGAGGAACTTTCTGACTTATCAGCAATGGAAGATACTTTGGATGAGTTGGATTGTGCTCAGCAGTTGTTTGAGTTAACAGATGACAAAGAAAATAAAAGCTATCCTTTAACTCTGTCCTTTTTTAAAAAACGTTTTATTTAAATTCAATTTAATTAACTTATACTGTATCATTCGTTTCAAAGGTAGAATTTAGTGATTCATCGGTTGCATACAACACCCAGTGCTCATTATATCAAGTGCCTCCTTAATGCCCATCCCCCAATTTCCCCATTCCCCCTACCCACCTCCTCTCCAGCAACCCTCTTTGTTAACTCTGTCCTTTTCTTTAAAAAATTTCTCCTTCCAAAGCAGGTTATTTTAAATAGTAGGGTCAGCTTGGGGATTTAATTAATATATTCAAAATACAAAATCAGACCTTTGGAAGTTTTAAAAGCAAGTAAAGGTTTAATCGTGTAACCTCAGACGTACACAAATAATTGCCTTTTGCTTGTTTGTATGCTGTTTGTTCAAGTTAAATGCTGCCTCATGACCATGTACCAACATCCATGTTTGCATTTAAAATAAAAATAGTGCCCCCTCCAAAAAAAGAATCCCCTTGACTCCTGGTCTCCCCTACCTCTGTACATCCAATTAGCCACTGTGTCAGTTGGCTTCATAATCCCTTCCTTCCACTGTTACACACCCCCTCCAGGCTTCTCAGCTCACCAGATTACCTAGTGTGTGCCTAGTCGTAGAGGTGGAAGGAAATGCCCACTGGGGTGCCCTGCCCGGGGGGAGCTGATATGTCTTCTGTCCTTAACTTTGTGCATTTGCCTGGTCACTGAGTGAAGAGAGCTCGGCCTGCCTGGAGTACAGTGGGGCTCTTCGTTGGTATCACCTCCCAAGGACCCAGGCCTGGAGCCTCTCCTCTCTCCATTTTCAGAAACAGCCTCCCTGCAGGAGGGCCCTGCTGTCTCTGGCCTCAGGACCTTGGACGCACATCTACCCTCGGGGAGACCCTTTGTTTTTCTTCATCTCTCATAATGGAGATTCACCTAAGGGCAGAGAATTCCAAAGAGCTAGTAACCTGAAACACTTCTTTTGGGGTTGGGGGGCGGGGCACGAAACCAATTTTGTTTGTTTTACTTCAGTGAATGTGTCTTAATTTTTTCCTCTGAAAATAAAAATTCAGTTTATTGACATGTCAGCTCTCGTGACAAATGATTTCGATCCCCGGGCCAGAGGTGGGAATTTCCAGGGAGGCTCTCTGGGCTGAGTCCTCCTTTCTCACCTGCACTGCTCAGACCACACAAGATGAGCCACCTCTCAGCATCGACATCACCAACAAGGTCTTTCCCATCCTTGGCATCTTCACCCATCAGGGCTGGCGGAGAGCGAGAGGCAGCCACCAGGACTGTCTGAGATCACAAAGCTTCAGGTTGAACTTGAATTTCTTGCATCTAAGCTAATTGGTGTGTTGATGTATCCACCTATAGAAATTACAAAGTGGCTCACCCAGGAGCCCTGGGTCTGTTGCCAGCGGTGGAACAGAGGAGAGCGCTTCTCAGTGGGTTCCAACAGACTGCCAGGTGGGGCTCAGAGGACCAGCCTCTCCCACTGTCTCCTGAGCCCAATCTTCTTGGCCATCACCTTCCCCCTGCTCTATGGCGGCTATCACCGATCTCTCCTTTATGTATCGCTGGTTCAAGAACTGCAATCTGGTCCGCAACCTCTCAGACAAGTACGTCTTCATCACGGGCTGTGACTCGGGCTTCGGGAACCTGCTGGCCAGGCAACTGGTTGATCGGGGCATGCGGGTGCTGGCTGCTTGCTTCACTGAGGAGGGGGCTCAGAAGCTTCGGCAGGATACCTCTTGTCGGCTGCAGACCACCCTGTTGGATGTCACCAAGACCGAGAGCATACAGGCAGCGACCCAGTGGGTGAGGGACCAAGTGGGAGAGCAAGGTGGGGCAAATTGCATTCTTTGGCTTTCTCAGTGTCTCCTTCTCTCTTTCTCCCCCAGGCATCTGACAGTGATCAGGGACACTGTTGTTCAGATGCGGTGGGAGAGGTGATGGAGAGAAGGGGGCTGGGGCTCTGGCTCAGTGGGATTGGAAGCCATTGCGTGGTTTGGTCTATTCACATGAAGGAGTGATTTCCCAAGGAAGTTTTCTCTGCCAGAAACTCAGAGGGTTGGGGGGAGACTGCCATAGGATGCAGGAGAAGGAAGATGTGTTCTGTATGTACAAAACCTCTAAAGATGGAATTGCCTCTCTGGGACTTGGGTAGTCCTAACCATCAACTCCTATAGAAATGTAAGCACATTTCTTATTGGGATCGGGCTGGGGGGAGGGGAAAGGGAACACGAGGTTGGACTCCCTGAGTGGGGATGTTTGTTCTCCTTGACTGTGTCAGGCTAGAAGGCAGGGGAGAGAGAGATCTGTCCTCTTCCTCACATCATGGAGGATATTGGGTTGACCTCAGGTTAAGTGCTGACATCAGAGTGACCACTCCTTTTGGGAAAAGAGACTGTGGGCTGACTGGGCTGGGCTGCCCAGGAAGCTTCCTGCATGCAGGGCATCGGCACAGGAACAGGAGGAACGGGATGGTTCTGTTGTGGAACAGCAGGCTGAGGGAAGTCCTGACTCCTAAGGGGACTAGTCTGGGGGCCCCACAACAGGTGGGGGCCAGACAGCCCTGGGGCCCAGGAGGAGCCAAACAGTAACGCCCTGCTTTATTTCTCTCCTTAGCATTTACCACTATCCAATATACAATATGTTTTACTTATTTTTCTTATTTATTGTCTGTTTTCCCTTGCTAGAATAAAGCTTCCAGGGTGGGCCGGGGCGGGGAGGGACTTTTTGTCTCTTTTCCTTATATATCCTTAGTACCCAGGCCGTGTCTGGCATCTAGTAAGGTGCTCAGTAAATTTTTGTTGAATGAACTAATTGATGAATAATTCAGTGAGAGTCAGTCTCTCTTCAATAGGCTGCTTTGCCCAGTGCCCTACATTCAGCCTTGAGCCACTTGTGTTCATGAGTCACTGGATGTATTAGGTTCCCGTTCCTGCTGTAATAAATTAAAGCAGTAACTTAGCGGCTTAAAACAACACAAATTTAGGGGTGCCTGGATGGTTCAGTCAGTTAAGCGTCTGCCTTTGGCTCAGGTCGTGATCCCGGGGTCCTAGATCAAGCCCCCCCCCCAGTTGGGCTCCCTGCTCAACAAGGAGCCTGCTTCTCCCTCTGCCTCTCCCTCCCGCTGCTCATGCTTGCTCTCTCTCTCTCAAATAAATGAATAAAATCTTTAAAAAAAAATAAAACAACACAAATTTATTATCTTATAGTTCTGGAGGTCAGAAGTCCAAAATGGGTCTCACTGAGCTAAAATCAAGGTGTCAACAGAGCTGTGTTGCTTCTGGAGGCTCTAGGGGACAATCCCTTTCATTGCCTCTCCCAGTTTCTAGAGGTTTCCTGCATTTCTTAGCTCATGACCCGGTTCCTCCATCTTCAAGACCAATAAGGTAGGGCCAAGTCCTTTTCACACTGCTGTCTCTCTGGTTCTGTCTTCTGCCTTCTTCTACCACTTAAAAAACCGCTATGATTATATTGGGCTCACCAGGCTAGTTCAGGGTAATCTTCCCATTTTAAGGTCAGCTGATTAACAATTTGAATTCCATCTGCTATCTTAATTCCTTTTTCCCACGTAACCCACCGTGTTCACAGGTTCTGGGGATTAGTATGGGGCCAGCTTTAGGGGGCCATTATTCTGCCTACCGCATTGGGCAACATCCTTGGTCTAAGAAGCACTGGGAAGGTTGGGGGCAGGGTTCCTGGCATGCTTTCTTGTTGCCCCTGAGAGACTCTGGACATGACAGGTTGGCACAGCCTTAAAGCTATTCACACTGCTCTGACGGTTCTCTAGTTGCTCTGTGCAGGAAAAAAAATGAAGGTAGTCCTGGTTTGCCAGCAGGCAGAGCTGTTTGCCAGGGTGATCACAGGTCGTGGCGAGTGTGTGTCCCTTCTCCACAGACAGAGACCACTTGGGTTTTATAGTCTTTGGGTCTCAGGAGCCTCATTTCCTCCTCTGGAAGACAATAGAGTCTCCTCTGGCTGGGAAGGTTCGAGTCCTGCCAGCCAGCTGGTCTCTGGGGTCTCTCTAGTTGGAGGAAGGCAGGAAGATATGGTGGGGGCATGGCCTGTGTGTGGACCCCAGACCTAGGAGGAGGGGTGGACCAAGAGTGGTGTTTACATCCAGACCTGCCATCGGAAGAGAGTGGAATTGTGCTGGGAGGAGTATCTTGTGGCTGCAGGGGTCAAGGTGAGCTGGTGGGATGAGGGGAGGGGAAGGGAAGGGAAGGGAAGGAGCCAGGACAGTGGGGTTTATGGAATCTTTGAATGAAAGAGCTGGAAAGTGTCCTTAGGTATCACTTAGAGACAGAACATGTTTTTAGCATCAAACATCCTCCTCCAAGTGGAATTTCACTTGGAAGCTCAACATGTAAAACAAATGAAAGTCAAGCCTCCCCTGCATCTTCCTCCCTGAGCGGGTGCTGGGGTTCAGCCTGAAAGAGTCTCAGGATTGCAAACCACAGGCTGGAAGCAACTGTTCTGTCCAGTTGATGAAAGACCTAAGTCTCAGAGATAGGAAATGACTTGTCCAAAGCTGGATGTAGAACTAGAATTGAACTAGAGGCTAGTACTTGAGGCTCTTCAAGCATGGGCCCCTGCAGAGTTGAATGACAATACTTGGCATTATTTCTCTCCATTTATACCAACTCAAATTAAATATCTGAAAGAGAGCCCCTATTACATTTTTTTCAGGATTGCTTTACTTAAATGTGTTACATATTTACTTACGGATATCATTAATGTCCTCTCTGGTTTGTGAGCTCCTTGAGGGATAAGTCTCTGTCTTGTTCATTTTATGTCTCTAGCACCTTCCTCTGTAACTGACAGAGAATAGATAATGGATGGATGAATGGATGAACGTGTGAATGAATGGACTGAGTTTGGTAATGTGCAAAATGGAGTTGGTTTCTTACACTTAGGTGAATAGAGAGGGGGACGCATGAGAGATGAAGGACTTCAACCATTATTTCATTGGTATGAAAATGATATCTCTTCTCCCAGAGCTAACAGCTTAGGTGCTATTAGCTAAGGCCTGGGTTGTAGCTGGTACAGGGTCCCAGCTAGGTCAGTGACAGACTTAGTGAGTCAGAAAAAGGGCCCCTTTAGGAAAAGTAATTAGTAAAAGGCATATCTTCCTCTGGGCGTCATAGCTCCCTGCCTCCCGCCACCAGCCGGGCCATCTTGTGCCTTGGCAGCCCTGGGCTGGTGGGTGGTGGACTCTGACGCTTTTCCAGAGATGCTAATGATTTCTGTGTGGTTCTCTCTCCCTCCATCACACCCCTAGGCCTCTGGGCCCTGGTGAACAATGCTGGTGTAGGCCTGCCCAGTGGACCCAATGAATGGCTGACGAAGGAGGACTTCATGAAGGTGATCAATGTGAACCTGGTGGGACTGATTGAAGTGACCCTCCATATGCTGCCCCTGATCAAAAAAGCTCGGGGCAGGGTCGTCAACATGTCCAGCTCTGGTGGTCGTGTGGCTGTCATCGGTGGTGGCTACTGCGTCTCCAAGTTTGGTGTCGAGGCCTTCTCTGACAGCATCAGGTGACTGGGTCCCCATGCCAAACCGCTCTGGGTGGGAGTCCTGCGGGTTTCACCTCAGGAAGAGAGGGCTAGGGAGGACGGCATGTGGGCAGGGGAGTTCCAGAGGCGGGGAGCTAACACAGCAGCAGGAAGAAGGCTAGTCCTTGGGGACCTTCCCCAAGGACCAGGAGAAGAGGGGTGGTGATAGGAGGCTGTCTTCCTGCCTTCCCTTGAGCTGTCCCAAAGTGAGCGAAACTGTGTTTGGGCTTACGGGAGTAAGAGGGAGAGTCTCTCAAGTAGACAGAGAAGTCTGGGGGCAGACATGCCCATGGGAGACCCTCAGAGGAGGATTCAGGCCTTGCCCTGAATCTTTGCCACTCTCTTTGCCATGTGGCTGTTGGGTGTGGGGCTGAGTGAAAGGAACCTGGTAGGAGGCAGGCTTTGGTCTAGATTCTCTGTTGACTTCTTTCCTGCTGGGTTTGCCTAATGCAAATTGCTTGGGAAAGGGCTGAGGCCCTTATTTGCATGAAGGCAGTGCCAATCTGGTACAGGGCTTGGGGAGCACCTCTAGGTCCCTGGGGAGATAAGCTCCTGTAGGGGGGTCAGAAGTGTGACTCTCCCTGATGATTCTTCGTCATCTAGGGGCCCCAGACTGAGTCTTTCTTCTTTCCCAGGCGTGAGCTCCACTACTTTGGGGTGAAAGTCAGCATCATTGAGCCGGGGAACTATCGAACATCCATCCTGGGCAAGGAGGGCACGGTGTCCCGCATGCGAAGGCTGTGGGAGCGGCTGCCTCAGGAGACCCGGGATAGCTATGGGGAGGAGTACTTCTGCAACTGTGAGTTCTCTGGGAGGGAGAGGGGCTCTCTGAGAGGAACAGCGAGATCTTGGGGATCACTGACTCGTTTTCGTTGCAGAGATAATGGGATGGAGGCTCAGAGGGGTTATGGACCCAAGGCCACACAACTAGTGGCAGAGCTGGGATCTGAGAATAGAGACCAAGGGGGCAACTGCTCAGAGTGGCAGAACGACAGCCTTTGTGGGGAGAGGAGTGTTAGGGGAGATGCTGCCCACTCCTGGCACCTGGCATACATTATTCTGTAGGCAAACAGGTGAAAATGTACTGACATGAGTACAGAGAAGTTATTTGGAGCACAGCTGCTTCACTGCAGTAGGAAACAAATAGGGGGTTCATTGGAGTTGGGGGTGAAGGGTACTTAAACTACGCTGTCCTGCCCTCATCAACTGCTCACCAGGGTCTTGCCCAGAGGAGGTGAATTCCTTGTCTTCCTAGACCATCCCCGAAGTTGGGCCAGCTATTGTTCTTCTGTTTTTCAAGTTTCAATCCCTTATTGACAAGTCTGACTCTCAGGCACCATTTCCTCCAGAGCTCTTATGGCTCTCATCGAAGTAGGGGTCCCAGTGACCTGCCAGAGTCCTGGGGCAAAGGTGCACATCAGGGCCCCATAAGTGTACCATGTGGCTTGTCTCCTATTTGTGTGGTGAGCTTCGGCAGACTTGGACCACTCAGATGTCTTGCACCTATCCTCATATCCTCATACCTGTGCACACGACGTGAACAGAATAGCCCCTCACATTTGTTAGAGCCTTACAACATACCTGTCTGTGCCCTATTAGATCATTTGACCCCCCACAGTGGCCTCATGACCAAGGCAAGGGCCTTTTTTTAAAAAAAAAGTATCGGGGCACCTGGGTGGCTCAGTCATTAAGCATCTGCCTTCAGCTCAGGTATGATCCCGGGGTCCTGGGATCAAGCCCTGCATCAGGCTCCCTGCTCAGCAAGGAGCCTGCTTCTCCCTCTCCCGCTCCCCCTGCTTGTGTTCCCTCTCTCGCTGTATCTCTCTCTGTCAAATAAATAAATAAAATCTTTTTCTT